ACCCCCGCCCGCACCCACACCCACACCCCACCCACACCCACACCCCACCCACACCCACACCCGCGTCCGTAAAATGAAATAAAAAAATTGTCCTTGAAATGCAGAAATTAGAGAGGTTCTTACTTCTGTGATTGGTTGTCGTGCAAAACAATGATAGTCTACCAGAGGTTTTTCACTACATGTTTTTGTATTAGTTTAATGAGCGTAGAGAGTAAATGTGAATTCCATATTTCAGCCACAAAGGAGCTGTGCTAATAAACTTTTCGCCTAATCTTCAAAGATGACTTTCGAAAAAAAAAATTCTAAACAAAGAAAAAAAATCGATGTATTTGTTCATTTATCTAACAATAGAACAATGTTTTGTATCCATTTACATTGCAATATCTAATGTTGATTCGTTTTTATTTAATATCAAGTATCTTCTCATTTAGTGAATACTTATAAAACAAAATAGACTTTACATACATTATTAAATAATGATGACCTTCTAGTTTAATGAATGAAATTCTTCAATTTCATTGTATAGAGAATACAGATTTTGATTTAAATACAAATCAAATGCAATTTCTTTTTCATGAATGTCAAATCTGTTTAATACAATATGAATTCTTCTTAGACATCAATTTTGAAAATGATATCATTTTTCATCTATTTTATGATCGATAATTGTTGTTTTCTTTATTCTTGTTTTATTTAGTTTGAAATTTGAAGATCAAATACACACTCCTACAAACACACTTTAATTCTTCCTGTTTCATTCGAAAAAAAAAGAAGGGAAATGAGAAAATTGTTCAACATTATTTGATATATCTATTTGGCGCGTTTAGCAGGAATACCACGATGATTAAGTTCATGTTCTATTTGCATTGCAGCACATGGTCCTACACAAAGTGCTGTCACACAGCAATCTTCTATTAAACTTCCCTAAAAGAAAAACGTATTAATAGATATATAAAACAAGAAAAAATTAGTTTTTATTCACTTTAATCTTAAAAGCTGTTCGAACTTTGGTTCGTACTGCCATCAATGAACATGGATTGAGACAGCATGTAAGTAAATGATCACCTACACGGTCAGTTAATTGAGCTGTAAAGCATGGAGCGCAGCAACATGCACAAGCCGCTAAAAAACAACAACTCGATATCATATTAATATAGTCTATCATACAATGACGATATCACTACGTACAACGTGGACATGGTTTAAACGAAGCAAAAAGAGTATTTTGCCAATTATCAGTAAATGGATAAAGGTCAGTTGAGCCTGCAGGTTGTCGTGAAACTGGTTGGCTATATTGAAGTACTTAATAACTAGATGAACTAAAAAGCGAAGTCTACTATACCTTGTCATAGTTATTCTTGTTAATAACTCGATCGACGATGCAAATATATACTTAGATATGAGTGTATAACTCCTTTAAATGGATGCTAAAGATACAGCAAGCTTCGCCTACAAACAAATGTTGTTAAGGGTAAGAGAGAGAGAGAGAGAGTTGTACGCAAATCGTTTAATTACTTCTCTTAAATAATAAATCAATAGGAGAGAAGAAAGAAAAAAGTTTTCGTATGTGAACTTGCTTTATTTCATCTATAGTATACGGAGTCTTTTTCTTATTTGATATTAACAAAAAATATCGTTTCTATGACAATAATAGTATAAAAGAAAAAAAAAGTCACAGAACAACGGAAAAATAGAGAGAATGAATGATTACATTGACAACCAAAATGGATTAAATTAGATTAGGATCTATTACAAAAAAAAATCACTTCTATTTTTCTTCTTTAATTATAACCATTATATTGATTATAACGTTCATTTCGAGGATTTTTACTCTTTTTTGGTTCCGAAATATCCCACATTCCTTGAGATTCAAGTTCACTTGCCATTTGTGTTGCTACACATGCACAACAACAATCTGATGCACAAAGATCACCACAACATGAACCCTTAAATAGCAGCAATAAAAATATAATAATAAATTTTTATTTTTTTATTCTATTAACAAACTTCAATTCGTCGTGCTGTTCGCAATTTTGTTCGAAGATAAGCTAATGAACATGGACAACAACCAATAATTGTTGTTTCACCTAAACGTTTTGCTAATTTACAACCCATGCAACAGAAACAAAAACATGCAAAACAACCTAAGTATTAAAACAAAAAGAAAAATAAGATTAACAATAATTAATGTCAAAACTTTATTCTTACATCGACTCATTGGTTTACAAGAAAACAATTTTGTTTGCCATTGATTTTCAAAAGCCCATACATCATGTGGATTATATTGTTGTTTAACTATAGTTGGATGAAAATTGTGTGGATGACTAAATAAGATTAGATAATAGAGAAAAAAATAAATTAAAGAATAAACATATTTTATAAATCTCTCACGTAGCACGACTCATTTTTCTTTTTGCAACTTCTATTCAAATGGTATATAAATGTTCTAGTTCAATTTATTTTTTCTTTTTCTTTTTTGTTTGATTATAAGTAAAAAAAAAAAAAAAAAGGGTGAAATCATGTGATTTGAAAAACTCAGTAGTTCTCATACAATTATGATTGTATTATTGTTACTGATGTTTTTTTTTTATTCCTTTTCTTTTTCTTTTTTCTTTTGCTTGCGTGAGAACAAAATAGGAATAAATTATTGAAAACAGTTTATGTTTTTCCACAGCTTTGAAAGACTAACAAAAATAATAGAAAGAAAAAAAATACCTCAATCAATCAAACTGAATTAATTGACCTTTATTGTTAGAACATTGTAGATAAAACGAATAAAAATGAATATAGATATTTATAAGGTTTAATTCGATGAAATCAAAAAAAAATAAGTAAAAAGCCAAAAAAGAATATTTTCAAAGTGTTCTTAATATTAGAAAACAATCAAGTTCATTGATGATATTGCTGCATGAAAAAAAAAAAGGCATAGAGAATAGCTTGACGCATTAAAGTTTTTATTTTTTAAATAAATGTTTATATTTTCTTATACCTTGACAATTAAATACAACAACAACAAATTTTACGTTGTCATCACAAAGTAGTAACTTTATATGATAATCGTCCTTGGAACATTAATGTTCTTTTGTTGAACTTAGATATACAATATAATTATAGTATATTTGACGTCCTACGAATCCAGTGAATAGAAAAAAATCGATCAAAACGAATAAAAAATATTTTTTATGTAAGCATAATGGTGTCATTTTGAGAAGATTAAATTACAAAGAAAAAAGCTTTTATGTATCACTTGGATACAAGTGAGTGATATGTTTTTCATGTTATGATTTGAATTATACTATAATACACTTAAATAAATGTTAAATAAAAGAATCTTTCTAATGATATTTATATTCATCAGAAAATAATAACTATAAATCTTATTCAATACTATAAACCAACAAATAAAGTCATCAAAAGTTCTTGTTTTGATTATCAATAGAATTTGATTTTTATATGCATAAATTAAACATTGGTTGTTATTCATATTTACGAATAAAACATTTCTATTGATCCTTTTTCATAAATAAAAGAATAAAATCTAGAATGTCTAATGGAATGTAAAATGACACTCATTTTTATATTTTCAAAAGAAAAATTATGTTAAATTTATCATAATCATTTGATCTTATGCATTAAAAACTTCTATAACATGATCGTATCCGATTGAAATAGTTTTAAACATTCATTTTTTATGTCTATGATAGCATCGTAATCATATGAAGCCTAGCGGGAGCTCATCCTTCCTACAACCATGTTCTAAAAGGTTGAAGCCCCCCTACAATTCTTTTGATTACATCATAAATCTATTTAAAAAATTTATTTCAATCTTTTTTTCATGTTCGATTTTCAAATGTATTCGCTCCCATTTAAGATGTTTGTTTTCTACGAAGTATTCATTTACAATACTCATTAGTTTTTCATTTCATGTTTGTCAATATTCTAATAATATGTATAGATAAGTAAATAATCGATTCATTTATGTTAGACTTCAATGCATTTATAAAAATTCTCAAAACAAACAAACAACATATAATTAAAAAAAAAAAAAAAAAACGTATGAAGTTTTTCTTTCTTCTTCTTTTTTATACAAATATTATTTAGAAAAAGAAACGAACAAATTACACAAAAATACCATCATCACGATAGCGTTCATAGTTTCTATCATTAGTATTTAAAATAAATTTTTTATCATCTTTAGAATTTTCTCGATTATAGTCATTCATAGAATTCATTTCTGACCATTTTTGATCATTAGTTGAATTTGTTGTATTTAAATATTCATTTGTTAATAAATGATTTTCAACAATAAGACTATTTTGTCGATTAAAATCTGTTTTCGTATATGAAGAATGATCACGATTTTTTTCGCGATTATGTTCATGTTCCGGTGAATAATGATTACGTTGAGTAGGTTTTATTACTTGTTTATCAAGAAAATAAAATGATTCAGGTGTTGTATAAAAATCTAAACTATTTAATTTTGTTGCTACTTGAAAACTTGAACGACGTTGCATTGTTCCTGGATATTGATTTGATTCATTATATTGTTCTTTTTGAGAATCAATTGGAGAATAAATAGTATGATTTCGATTTATAAGTAAAGTTTTCATTGTTGATATTGTTCCATCTGAACGTTCATTAGATAAATGAAGTATATGATCAAGATCAGTTTCTTTTAATGTACTTCGTTGATTTGATCTTATTTCATCTTCAGTTGAAGATTCATTTTTATGGGATAGATTATTACGATGTAATGTAGATGCTTCAGAAGATACTATATAATCTTTTGTACGATAAGGACGAACAGGATATGTTATTCCATTGCCATTCTGTTTTAAATGTACTACAAAATAAAAAGTTATTAGTTTAGAATTTGAAGTATTTAAATAAAAAGAACTGTATCATATATTCCCAACGATTGAAAGTTTTTTGTTACTTTGTTTTTCTTTGCTAAATATAAAAAAAGGAAGACAACGATGGTAGAGAACGTAATGATAATGCACTAGACAAAGATATCTCGGAAAGTTGATCCTGAATACTAGAAAATTTGAAAAATCTAATATCTATTTCTATAGTGCGTCGACGGCTGAGATATCTTATAAAATTTTGTGGTCATCGTCAGTGGTATAGTCAACACCTGTAGTTATACGTACAGGAAAATAACAAAATATAGTTTTGAATTTTTACCTAAAGATGTTTTACCATTGGGACCATTTTGTGAATGATGAGAATTATGATTTCGATAAGTAAGATCTAAATACAAAATTTTAATTCAATGATTAATTTTAAACATAAGATTTACTGTCAAAATCGGTTTCGGTTTTTCGCCGATAATACATTGTTTTTCGTAGTTTATGACAAGACCAACAAATTAGAACAAATGAAGCAAGACATGCACCGATAATAAATAAAGCCATATAAGGCCAAGAAATACCAGTTTTATCTGCAAAGGATTCAACTAAATAAGATTATTATATACAATTCAAATTTTAATTATTTTTTTTCTTCTTCTTCTTTTATTTCAAAAAAAACCTACCTCTTGATTTTCCAACTTGAATTGAATAACTTCGATCAAAATTATCTCCAAATTTATTTTTTGTAAATACACGAAAATCATGATGATATTCAGGTTTAAGATCAGGAAGAATAAATGCACAATTACCTGACATGAAAAAAAAAAATCCAAAATCATTTAAACAATAGATTTATAATATATTTTTGTATTCTTTGAGATAAATAGTTTAACTCAATTATTTTTTTTTTTTGAAACAAACCTTTCAAACGAGCATGTTCGGAATAAGAACCATTCTGTTGTCGTTTATACATATAACAAAAAAAGTCTTCATCACCTTGATGAAATCCAGCCATACAATTTACAGTTAATGTTGAATTTAAATATGTATAATGACATGATTCTATTGGATCGGGTATACCTTAAAACAACAACAACAAAAAAAAATGATTCATTGCTTTATTCAATATTCATAGAAAAGTTTTAGATAATGAGTGGAAAATCAAATAACAGTATTTTGACCTGAAATTTTCGTCTATAAGCAGATTAAATGTCTAGTAGAATATCCTGAAAGATTTAACCGAAAAAAAAATGTATTTTTGTCGGGATATTGAATTTTCAAGGAAACTCGATTTTTGGGTAAATACCTATAGGTGGATCAAATATTCAGTAAAACAGTTATAACTCGATTCCAGAGGCACCCATAGGCACGAATTCCTTTTAGAATTTATCATGTCCTACCGAGAGTTCCCTTCGCACTCAATATGAACATAACCGGCGAGTATCACTTCGGGCAGTTTCACATTGCCTGCGAATAAACATACTGACGTAATCAAGGGTGAAGTACGGCGCCGCCTTACAACCAAAAGAAAGAAAAACATACTAATTACCATCATTAACACTATATTACATGGATTTCCTCTAAGATTGTGCGGCACTGTTCTACAAACCATGACCTTCTGCTTACGCGACGAACTCAATGATTTGTAGATAGTCTTAAACCTATTAATATTAATTAAGAAATGTGTTAACTTAATTTATAATTCTTTGTCATAACATAGTTTTCTATTTTCGTATTCTAATTTATCCTTGAAATTATTATACAAACAACAAAAAAAACATGTCATATGTTCGAATAATATGTCTTTCTATTCAACGTATGTACATATATAATATAGAAATTAGTAAAGACATATTTGATAACAGAATAAAGAAAAAAGAAAAAAACTTAACTAACCTCCTAAAACCATATTAAAATGACATTCCCCAAATAAACCTAATTCGTTTTGTGCTCGACAAGTAATTTGACCAAAATCAGTATTGTAATTAGGTATTATTGTAATATAGCTTGATGTTTTATTTAAATAATGTCCTAAACGTATATTTTCGTTTGGTAAATGCCAAGTAAAATTGATTTTTGTAGGATTTCCATTAATCATATGACATGTTAAATTAATTGGGCGATGAATACCAGTAGAAAATTCAGGCACAAATGATATCTTACGAGAACATATTGGACTGTCTAGAATAAAGAGAGAAAAAAAAACGAAGGAAATTATTATTAATGAAAAAAATGACTTTAGTAGTTAGTTTTTTCCTATAATGATAATAGATTTATTTGTTGACATATAAACAAACGGATGAATGACATCCGTTAGACAAAAATACATGTGCAATATTATTAATAAACAGAAGTTTGTTGATAGTAAACTGATCGTATAGATTCTTCAATGTCAAATATTCGAATATTCTATTTATCATTTATTTTACTTTGTATTTTCGAGAGCAGAAAATTGAAGATATATCCAATTGATGATATGCACTTTTCTATTAGATATTCAATTTCTATGTAGAGAAAAAAAACTAAGACAACTGACATTGTTTCAGCTACTTAACCTTATATATTTATATAGATTCTATCTTTAAATGTCAGCAATCAAGCAGAGAAACAATACGAGACACACGATAATTCATTGTTTGCCTTTTTATAACCTTTTCGCATTGATTATTTCCAAAACAAAATATATAAAACTTATCTAATAAAACTAAATAGCCTACTTACAAGAATGAATATTATCAAATATTTAATTAGAAAGTGGAAGTATTATTAATAAAGATTGTTGTAAATAATAGAATAGATAAGAAACAGAAAAGAGAGAATGTCTTGTCTTCTTCTTTTTTCTTTTCCTCATATACACATACACTGGTGGCGAGAAAGAAACACTATAAACAGAACGCGCATCATATAACTTTTCTTTTTTTTTCTAGTAATAGATAGTTCAAAGATGTGGTATACATTCATACACTAGCTAATAACCAAAGCTTCGTCAATATCAAAGAATAAGACAAGAGAAAGAAGAAGCCTCATCAGGACTGTTGTTGATTAATAACATGTCAGTTTTAATTGGTCACAAAATTGGACGCCGTCAGCATATATATATATATACATATGTACAGAGAAAGAGAAATTTCTTCACTCAACATCTGTTAAGTAGAGCTCTTTGACTTTTACAGATAAAATACCATAATTTAACTTACTCTGTTTATTGTCAACAAATAATAATACTTTGGAGAAAAACAAGCCAATAGTTTGTTTGATAAGAACACATTACATTTTATTCGATGTTCTGTCAGAAAGAAGCATCTTGTCCCCTCGAGTTATGTTTCCCCTTCGCCTTCTTATACACTTGTATTCCATGTATGCCATCATATGAATATATACGACGCAGTCAACCGAAAAATGAATGACGATGTAAAAGAGGGAAAAAACGAGAAAAAAAGAAGAAGAGAATTGATCAAATTGAATAAGACAAGGGATCGGTCAATGGTCTTGACAAGTAAAATAGAATTAAAAAACTAAAGGCGGAGTTATATGTAAAATTAATAATGACAACAATGAAATGTACAATATTTTAATTGAAAAATTTGATGAATATGATCTTGTCATTACAAGTTTTATTTTTTTCTTTATTTTTATTTTGTTTAATACTTACAAGCAACATCCAGTTGAAGAATATTGGAAAGAATTCGATGTTGTTCTTGTTGATTATCATTATCATGTATTTTTATTTGTGTTGCTTCACAATGAAATATACGTTTATGAAAATAACGATTTATACGAAGAATTAAAATAAGTATTGTTCGATATGTTTTATCGTCGTTTTCTATTGTAGAATTTCTTTCAATATAATAATCAATATGAAATGGAAAATGAAGAATAGCAGCTGGTAAAGCTCGTGAGACTACACATGTAAGACGTATTAATTCATGTTCACGTAAATATATAGATCCATTATTTGATCTTAATGATTGATGTAAGAGATTATGATCAGTTTGATTTGATATATGATTGTTTGTTGAATCGTATGATGATATTAATTGAGCACCAAATTCAACAGTTGTAAGACGAACTAAAATAAAAATAGATTTTTATTAAACACTGCATTGTATATATTATATATTTTATTAGACTCTTATAGGAATATTAGAGAATGAATAATGCAAAGGTGTGAGAAAGTATTAATAATGAAAAAAAAAAAATCCATTTGGTTTCTAATCGTATATGGATGTAATTTTTTTATTAGAATAACATACACAATACGTCATAGAAGAAATAAGAGCAAATTTAACAAGCGGAAATATAGAATTATGATCTATGTATTGAATGGAAAAGAGAGAGAGAGAGGGAGAGAAAATAATAGAAGTTGTATGAATAAAAATAGTAGTTACTATTAATTGATTAGCACAATACTAACACGGAAAGTGAGAAAAAAAAAGGAAATAACTAGATGCATACTTATCAAGAGTAGACATAGAAGAAAAAAGGGTGTCTGAAATCAGACCTCCGGAAACAATCATACGTTCACTATAGTTGTAAGGCTCATGATTCAACAAGATTCGTCTTCATTCTTCATTATTGTCTCTTGGGATATGTGTTGTAATCGTTGAATACAATGTTCATAGTGTGAAAAGAAGAAGGACAATGTTGTCAAAGTAAATCTGAACAATGATCAAATTCTATGTAGTAGATTCTCATATCTTATTCTTTAACGTAAATGCTCAATGAAGCAAAAGAGAAAGAAAAAAAACAGAAGAAATATGCAAATACAATTTCATTTAATAAATCAATAATAGTCAAGTTATATATATATATCTCCATATATCGATTATTTTCTTCATAAAATTAATATTAATTTAACGAATTCTATACTCGAACATGTACAAAAACACACTTTATGTAATATTATTTATATTTATCTTAATGCACTATCAATCATAAAAAGCGTGCATATATGTTAAGAAAAATAATCGGAAATTATTTCCGAAAAGTGTATAACACGCATCCTTCCTATTCCATTAACATCAGATTGATGTGAATTAGTTCAGTTGTCTAAGACTACTTTATATATCAAAGCAACATGTATTCTCTAACTAAGAATTTTTTATATTAATCATACATATACAATTGCTCATTTTATATGAAGACAAGAACGATTTGTATATACACACACACGCAATAGATTAAATGGACACATGTTCGAAAATACACAAAAACAAATATGTCGATGAGTCATTTAATAATTATCATAGAATTCAAGAATGGAAAAACAAATAGACCTATGTTTATTCAACTTAAAAAAAAATCTATTGTAGGCAATTGTGTTTATAATGATGTAATTATGAAAAGATCTTATCGATTGAAATTCGTCTTTTTTCTTTAGATATTCAAGCATTAAAAAAAAAAAACCAAACACTGATATACTCTATGTTAATAAAGATGACTAATATTAATAATTTTCTTTCTATTATATGTTAAAATTCATGACATAATATATGTCAAAATATAAAATATTGACCTAGGGGTCTATTGTTAGAGTGAACAACATCTTTGTTTAATTTATTGACAAGAATAATAATATTAAACACAAAAGCACTCTAAATTTACACTTATTCGAATCTGACATATTGATCGAAATCAACAAAATTGCATGTCCGGATGTCATATTAACTTATTTATTTGATTACTAGTCGCTGTAGAAATACATAAAAGAGAATGCATACACAACTTATATAAAGATATTAAAAAGAAAAAGCAAATGATGGCATTATATACATATAAATATATATATATATATCTTAGGGTTCAGTCCAGAGTCTTTTTATTGTTAAAATAAAAATGTAAAAGACTCTTGTCTGCATCCTGAGATGCAAATAGAATTTCATCTGATCAATGAATAATGTCGATTATGGTATGAAAACAAAATTATCATAACAAAAAAATTCAATATTTGCTTTTCTTATAGCTTATAGAATATTATTAAATGGATTTCTAATGAACAATAAAGGTCCTTATGTCGATAATTCATATAAAATTCTATATAATAGTTGTTTATTAAATGAAAACAAGGGTTACAGAATAAATTCGACAATGTGTATTTTTAATATTTTTTCTCTATTCTTCACATGATTCAAATATTTTTTTTTTTTAATAAAAATAATGCTCTTGAAATCCTTTACAACATCATATAGAATTGAATTCAAAGAGTTGTAAAGTAAAGACATACAAGCGACGTAAAAAAAAAAAATATGTAAATATAGATAAATTAAGGTAAATCATTTTTCATTTTAATTTGAATAGTTTCATTGCGAACAGTTTAATTCTGAATAAAAATAGATTAATAACGCTAGTTCGATCGATATGTCACACGCTCCTGATCGACTACATACACTACAGATAAATATGAAAATGTAGAAGGTAAGATGATATCTATCTCAGAAAAAATTAATGTCAACAAGATATGTACAATTGATATTACATGAGAATCTCGATTATTCACTACAGGTTAACGACTAACCTTAGCAAGTTCACACAGTCGATGTTAGAAGAATATGTTCGACCTCGCACGCTTCATCTGAATTAAAAATGATATATTGATCATTTTCCTACGTTCATCCCGCAAATCCTCGGTCTTCGAAATTCATTGGATGTAAACTCATAATACTATAGTTTATCGAACAAAATGACTAAAGCTAAATTTTCTATCAAGCTAAAAAAAAGAAAAAATTTTTACACCTTTGTATTAGATTTTACTTTGTGAATATTTTGTATTCAAGAAAAAAAAGTGTAGGAAATAATACTTGTTTAAAAAAAGCATTTGAAACAAATGAAGAATAGAAAAAAGAAATATTAAAATTAAAAAGATAGTCAA